GCCCCGCGGACACACACTGCCGGAGTGCCAGGGGAGAGGGAAAAAAAAAAAAAGGGGGAGTGCAAACAAACTCTTTCCCCAGGTCCAGGGGGCTCCGGTTTCAGCCTTCCGTTCGCCGTTTAGCTGCGAGGGGGCCATGGGAACACGGAGCGCCGGGGGCCCTGAGTCAATAAGGAGCAGCGGCCCAACACAATGGAGGACTGCCCGCAGACAACACCGCTGACAGACACCCACACAAAAGGGGCCTGTGAATGGGGAAGGGAGGCGTGCGCACGCACACACTCGCGCACATGAACACACACTGCTAAAAAAGAATAGGGCGATGTTGGTGCCTGCCTTCAATGCTTGGTTTGATGACTACCTCTGCGTTTGTGTGTGTGTGTGTGTTTGTATACACGTATGCCCATGCACACAACGTTGCTCATGGCCCATGAGGAAATAAACACAGAATAACACACTTTCAGGACAGCCTGTACCACATAAAAAAACGTGACCAACGCGTAGCGGCGGGCCGCGTCGCCGGTTGCATTCTTGGCATTTGTTTCGGTCTGTTTTTAGCCAAACGGGTGGAATTCACTGGCCTCCGTCCCTCAGATAACATTTGATAAATTTGTCACAGAAAATTGGACCGTCAGCTGCGTTATAATCCGACAGAATAGGAAAAAATGTGTGACTCCCGAACCTGAACCTGAACGCCGACGGTTGAAAATCAGCTTCTTTTTTTTTACGGATGCCAGGGGGACATGATGACTGGATCTGTTAGCGCAGATCTTATGGTACAAACATGTCCACGCTGCCACCTGGGAGGGAATAAAGGACTTTGTTGTATGTGTCAACAGCTCGCTCACACATCAAGGGTTTAAACAGGGCTGGACAGTGTTAACTCTCACTGCATGTACAAGGAAAAAATAAGCCAAACGCAGAGAAAATACTAAATGAAAACTTAAAGCTCAATGCTCAAAGGAAGTTTTTCCTTGCCTGTGTCGCCTAGTGCTTGCTCATGGTGGGAATTGTTGGGTTTCTGTAATTAACTTCAGAGTAGGGTCTGACCTGCTCTGTTTGGAAAGCGCTGTGAGACAACTGTTGTTGTGATGTGGCGCTTTTATATAAATAAAATTGAATTGAATTGAATCTAGTCTATATTTAATCAATCCATCAATCAATTGCAGGGTTTGAAGAGCTGGAGCAGAAGCTGTGTTGGCTTACTGACTCTGCAAAAGGGGAAAATGTAAAGACAGGTGCTGCCATCTGGTGTCAGCCCACATAAAAATGGGGACATTTTAAACCAGCAGGTGGCGGCACATTGAGGAAAGCAAAAGAAATACATCAAGTTAAAAGGGGGAAAAGGGGCCCAGTCATTCAGAGATGTATCAGTGTATCCTGGAGGTAAATCTGGTAAAAAAAAAAAAAAAGCAAAATGAGCCGATCGTTTTTAAGTCATGTGGGTTACTGTAAATCTCTGATAACATCTCCTTCTCACCAAGAATGACTTGCTCTGAGTGCTGTGCTGTTATCTCCTAACCACAGGTGTGTCAGGGTGAACTATGTCACCCTGCGGGCTGTTATTTACCGTTTGGGGCAGTTAGTGGACAGCGTACGGATTTAAAGACGGCCTCATTCACGGGGCTGTTTGTTTTGCTGGGCGAGGTAGAAGTTTTTCCTAAGAGGCACGTTTGTAAACTTACATAAACGTTGTGTGTGTGTGTCTAAATTTACTATCTTTGCAGACTCGGGGTCCACGTGGGTGTTATCTACCTTTTCTATCTGTGACCCTGCAGCTGGGACTGGTGCATAGCTGACAGTTACTTATATATCTGAGATAAGGGGAAGGCAATCACAATCCAGCCCAGTCTGCTTATTTCTGACTTGGAATTGATTTGCAAAGGCAATAGGATCACAGGCTGAGGCAAAAAAAAAAAATTGGACAGGGAGGTTAAAGCAATATCAAAGTTTTATTCGTAAAATGTAGTATAGAGAGGAACAGTAGTACAATTCAGACAGAAAAAAGGAGAATGTAGTTCCATCTTTGAAAAACCTTTGATAAAAACGTAAAAAGAGTAACCTGAATTTGCTTTGTGTTCGGAGGGCACTGAGGTGCGGCCCGAGTTTTGCATCGCGGTTAAAGTTCGAGAGAAATTGAAAAATACAACCTTCTGCAACAGCGTAAAAAAATACAGCTGGGGAAAAAAAACCTCTGCTTTACATCTGTAGTGTTTTTGCTTTTTTTCTTATTTTTTTTTGTTTCGTGTGTGTTTTTGTCCATATAACAAATACAGCATTAAAATCTAAAATGATACATCATAGGTTTGAATTTCATTCATTACAGTAAAATCAGTAGGATGGTAAATAGTATCAAAAGAACAAACATGACAACGAGATGGTGAGATGGACAAGCACACAGCGTGAACGGAGAAAGCGGAAGGTTAAAGTCCACGGAAATAAACCACCGAGGCGGGAGGTTTCTAGTTGACTCTGTTCCATTAAGGAAACCCACTTGTGAATAGTATATTCTTTACATATATATATAGATATAGATATATATACACATACATATATATACATATATATCTCATATATTCTCTCTCTTTATACATATATATGTATGTGTGTGTATATTCATATATATATATACATACATATATATATATGTATAAAGATTACAATTCCCCCTCCACAGTGAGTTGAAGATGAAAGTGACACAAAAAAGGATGAACATTTCTATGACTCAAAAAATATCTTCTTCCACTGAGAGCAAAAGGAAGTTACACATCTTCGGCATTAGCACTTCAGTACATACTGTAGATTCCACTGCATACGAACAGATACTGCTGTTCCAAGGTTTAAACCCGCAAACAATCCGTGTTTCTTTAGAAAATATGTGCTAACTGAAAAGAACCCCGGGGAGAGAAAAGGGAACGTGGGTGGAAAAAGGACAAACTTAAAAACAGGTCTCACGGGGTAAAGTGAATGATTCCGTAGCATTAAAACATTTAAAAATCTCAACAATTACAGACACGAGCAAGGATTTTCTACACTAAGCAAGTATTCACCTGGCTTTTCTCATACATTATATTTCAACAATAATTAAAAACAACAATTTTGGTTGGACAAATAGAAATTAACAGTCTTGATTGCATTTTGGAGTCTATATATATGTATGTATGTGTATAAATATATATATATATATATACATATGTATATATATATGTGTGTACATATACATATGCATTTATATATACATATATTCACATATAATATTAAATAACAAAAACAAAACGTCTAATAAAAAAAATTGCGCATTGGAAGAAGGACAACAGTTTTTATATAGTTCCATTCAGACCCGCTTTCTCGGGAAACATTAAAAAAAATTATTTTCATGAACGCAAAAAGTAAGTGCATGTCTATGAGGCGCCATAGAGCTTCACTTTTTTGTGGAACAAAGTGTTTTCTACCTGGCAGACCTAAAAACAAAACAAAAAAACAAACAAGAAATAAACTGATGACATTTCTCTATACCTGTTATAAATGGAAAATGGAGTTCTTTCAACTTAAAAACGTCACAGATGGGGATTTCTGTACATTTCCTCCTTGCTAATGACCAACAACCATATGATTCAAAATATATACGTATATATATATATATACTGTGTTTACTTTAAACCTCAGTACCAAATATAAACAAATGTAGACAGGTATCCATGTCAGCTTAGGTCCTCAAAATGTCAAATGCAAGTACTGCCGGTAGATTTACAAAATGGTATGTGTGCGTGTGTGTGGGTGTGTGCATTAAATAAAATAAAAAGCTTAAAAACAATGGCAAAGCATACCTGATAGTCGCCGTAGCACAACAGTGTTCTATAGTTTAAGCTGATTACATATGCATAACTGAGTCAGTTTAAGCTTTATGATTATAAACATCATATATAGCCTGTAGGTCCAGTATTTTGCAACAAGCATTACAGCACCAAACGTTTCATCATTTGGCAAAATTCAAGCTTTAAGTGAAAGTCAAATGCTTTTGTTTAATAATAATATTAATAATAATAAAGTGTTATTGTGACGCCTGTGATTTGTATAAAGCTAGCAATAACATTTCCCCTTGTACTTTCTCTTTTTTTTTTGTTATATCATCTTTTTCCCCATATAATAAACCCAATGTTTTTTTTTTCTTTTAAGCGTATTCAGTAGTTTTTTGTTTCCTGCTAAATCTTGGTGTGCGGTCTGTTTGGCACAATACCACAGCCCTCTTAAATTAATCATAAATATGGCTGTGATACATTAGAGTTACAAAACAGATTTTTTTGGTTCCAAGATTTGTGCAGGGAAAGAGGAGAGAAAAAAAAAAAAAAGACAAGTATAATATAGTATTTAGCGCATCTAAACAGGATCTACAGAGCCAGTTTAAATCTTCCTGTGGACAATAATGCTCTTCTTCCACGTACTTCTACAAGCAACACACTGTCAGACGGAGGAGAGCAGCAGCGTTTACTGTGCCTCCGCTCACAGACAAAAAAACAACAGAAATACAAATTATAGCATTTGATAAGACCATAATAACCTCTCTTCATAAATTAAATAATTAATATTTCTTTGTTTTAGATGATTGGCCTACCTCAACTCAAAAATTACATCACCCCTGCCCAACTCGCACCCAAAGAACAGGAAATAAAAATACATCACTAAAAACCTGATTCGTCATATTATTCGTCACTAGAATCGTCCTCCGCTGGGCCCAGAGCTGGGCACATCTTTAATAATAATAAAATCTATACATCTTGGAGTTCCCACTCTTTCAAAGCTTTACAAAGGAAAGAAAAAGAACAAAAAAAATCCATCTTTGTTATATACTTGCACAATTAAGTAACCTCAAGGTTTGATAGCACTTTGGAGTTGATTGTTTACCAGCTAGTTTTTTGTGTACATATATATTAAACATCAACTTTTTTTTTGTTTCGGTTTTTTTTTGTTGTTGTTGTTGTTTCTCAAGCTTGTTAGAATTCTTAGTCCTCCTCTGGGGCAGCACCAGCGTTGCCCTCGCCCCAGTTTGATTGGTCGTTGTCGGTGGGCTCCTCCCCCTCCGCGTCCTCCCCTTCCTCCACGTCGAACTCCTCGTCCCGGGGAAACTCCAGGCCCTCCATGCCCTCCATGCCCTCCATGCCTTCCATGCCCTCCAGGCCCTCCTGGGTGGCCTGGTGCGAGTCGGCGCAGTCCGCGCACACGCCGTAGCGCCGCGAGCCGTGGCGGATGCCCACGCTGGCGGCCAGCATGAAGATCTTCTTGCAGACCATGCACTTGTATTTTTTGTCCTTCTTGTGCACCTGAGAGAGAACAAAACAAAAACAACAAAAAAAAGAGGACAGGATAGAGGAGAGGGGGTGATTCTTCTGAGTCATTAGTAAATAAGACTTAATGGCATTTACCAATACAACTTTAAAGAGCGTGTGTGTGTGTGTGTGTTACATAAACCCAAACGTCTTGTTTGGATTTTGTCAGAGGAATCTTTTTTTAAAATATCACATCATCAAGGGAAACTTTTTGGCCCATTTGGACTTGTCCGGGCAAGCAAATGGATTATGTCAGATATCCAGGTCCAACTCAGACAAGAGGATGAGAAGAGAAAGGTGCAACATTTGCAAAACGATCTCTCCCTGAATCCATTTTTACGACCATATGCTTGGGAGCGCTGCTAAACCAGGCGAGTGTCAGAAAAAGCTGCTGGGCTGCATTAGTGGTATCACTAAGGTGAGCTTTATTCTCCCCTCTCTGCTCAGCCAGCGCTCAGCAGGGGGGTTTCTGATTCTGTCATGGCACTACCAAGAAAATCGCAGCTTTACCGTTACGTTAAAAAGAAGAGCAAAGGTGAAAAATCTGCTGAAATGAGCTGTTTTTTCCATCCTGAGCTGCAAACTTTCTTTGGATTAATGATATATTTAGTGCAAAAGACAGTAATCCCTTATAGATTCTAAGCTGCTGGTGAGTTTGGGGGCTCAGAAAGTTAACAGGAAGACGCCCATTTCCTTTTTCAAGATGAGCTCCCTCGCTAAATGGCTTGGCATGCTTATCTTTGAAACAGTCCACCCATTTTTACCCATTTTTTGTACTTTAACAGCGGCTCTCCCGCACTCCCTAAATGCCCAAGAAAACTACGCTCACTCCCTGCTGGTGTCTGGCAGGCCTCAGAGGGGGCTCCTCGTGGGGCGGCCAAAGAGAGGCGAGGGAACGTGTGTGTGTGAGTGTGTGTGGGACTCACCAGGGAATGTCTCTTTACGTGCTCGCGGCGGGTGAACAGCTTGCCGCAGATGTCGCAGCTGAACGAGCGCACACCCGAGTGGATGATCAGGTGCCTCTTGAGTGTGCGCCGGTGCTTGGCGATGTAGTTACAGTGGGGGCACTTGAGCTTATTGAGGGCTAGGTGTGAGGACTCACCTGAGCAAAGAACAACGGCGACACATAAGAAAAGGAGGGTCAACAAGAAACAGGATACAGTCAGAGTAAAACATCAAATCAACTGGAAGTTACTTTCGACCGATAATGCATACAACAAGATAATTATCCTGAAAGCTGCTCTTCCATTTGATAAAAGGGTGTGTCTGGAGCACAAATTCTGTGTATCAAGTCATCGGGTTAGGATGCGGTGACCATTACTGCTAATAAAAAACCACAAAATCTGATGCATCATATATCCTCTACTAATAAGCACCTCGTCATGGCCCTTCATATGCTGTTGCTAAGTAACCGCTGTTTATCGGTGGGACAATTTCAAGATTTCGCCGTGGCATCAATAGGGAGGATGCTTATCCGCGTTACGAGTGAATATAAAGCAGCGAACCCTTTTCAAAAAGGCTCCTGAGGGGTTCGTGTCTCCGTGCTAAGTCAGTGGGGTAACATGGCCCATCCCTTTGTTTGAGCCAGGGATCACACAACAGAGGCGTTGTCAAGGTAGGTTGCCAGGAGGGAGGAGGGGGAAATGTTGATGAGAAACAGGTCACCTGCTTACTCGCTTCGTGTGTGTGTGTGTGTGTGTGTGTGTGTGTTTGCTTTACACAGGCCTAGAAGAACCTTGTGGAGGAGCTACAGGCTCACACGCACAGATTTCCATTTTCTCAAACATTGATTATTATCAGGAAGAGCAAAGGTAAACTGCAACAAGAGGTTACAATTTAATTTATTGAGCACGAGCAAGGTGATTGACATTTTTTTGTTCATAGGATTTATATCTAACTTTAACAAATGTGAAGAAATGTATGAATAAAGAACATTTGATCGACACTATTCATAATGCTAGTAACTTCTTTTCTCATATAGCCCCTTCTCTGAAAAACTGAACTCATTTGGAATTTCATCATCAAACTTAGTGTGCTGCATTTGTCAACAGATGGTTAAGCAGCTCACAAATCAGCTAAGGGGGATGCATTTACTTAGGAAATGTTCATTTCTCCTTAACCTCCTCATCGTTTCTTTTCACGTTGCATTCCTGTCGATGGAGGAGTTTCATTTTAATCTGGCTCACGCTCGAACTGTACAAACTACACACAGCACCGTACTGATGGGCAAAGAGCAGCTACTGTGGATATATTGCTCTGGTTCTGTCCTGCTTGGTGGATTTCAGTGACTAAAGCAATTATTCGTTTTAAATATCCAGGATTTTGGCCCAGCTGTGGAAAGCCACAAGGCAGTGGGGGTGAGAAAACACCTGGACTTTCCTTGTTGGGATACTTCCAGAAATGAGGCGGAGACTTGCAAAAATCTCATGCAAAATACATTTCCCCAAAGGTTCAGGTGTGGTCTCGAGAGTGGCATCTTACCATTCTCCCAGGACTCCCCTTGCTGTAAGTCTTGGATGATGCTATACTGGATCTGATTGGCCAGCTCTGGGAAAAGGGGAAGGGGGGGGGGGAGGGAAAAAGGGGGAGGAAGAAAGAGAGATGAGAGGTGGTTGAGAGCCTGAGGGGTGCACACCTCACAATGTCTTGTGTACACAACTAACCGACCCCCCACGCCAAACAAAAGGAGGTTTTCGGCGAACGACAACATGGGCAAACACAAACGGCCGGAGCCCTCCTGTATGTAAAGCAGTGCCACGGCAGCCAGCGAACCGGGAGGGAGGGGGTTAATTAGAGAAAGAAAGTCCAGCCCCTCGCACGGGGTCATCTTACACTCAGCTTTTGTAAGCACCTGTGTATATACTCTTCCCAAAGCATCAGTGCTTTAGTGCCCATTAAAGACACACCCCTCTGTGTGTGTGTGTGTGTGTGTGTGTGTGTGTGTGTGCGTCTATTCTCCCTTGGTCAATATTTGGAATGGTGAGGACAGCCCCACTGCATTAGGGTGGATTATGGAGTGAAGGGACGGCCCCTGGCAGCTTTGCACCTCTCAGGGATTGGGGGTTTATTGTGCGTGGGTGCGTTTGTGTGCACTTTAAAGATGGGTGTGCATGCAAATGCATTTCACCTGCTCTGTGTGCGTGTGTGTGTGTGTGTGTGTGTGTGTGTGTGTGTGTGTGTGTGTGTGTGTGTGTGCAGCACCCAGCCTTTAAAACAGCCCAACAGTCTTGTTTGGAGAGGAACTATGAATTCATTGGCTAAAAGTTTTGGTGGAGGGCAACGCACTTATATCCTGAAACAGACACACTCCTCACATTTATCCATTCTCTTCTTTTATTGATATTATCTTTTTTTTAAATATCTGTCTATTTTTTGTTATTCTAAAAAAGTGTTTGGAATAGAAATGACATTGATTATATTTAAAGACAAGAGTTAATCTGATGGTCAGCATCTCTGAAACCAGGAAAGGAGTAAATAGGGTGTGTGTGTGTGTGTGTGTGTGTGTGTATGTGGGCTGACAGAGCGCCACCCTTTGGACTTTTGCGCATCCATCCTTGGAGCCCGGCTGCACCGATCAAACAGAGACAAAATGAAGGCCAAAAGCGTGACATCACTGTGGGAAACTGGGGCGGCTAATAATGCCCGACGACCAGGGGAAACAGAAGCCTGAGCAAGGACTGTCTGGTTTTAGAGATGGTCACGTGACAAAAAGTGGGTTCTGCGTGCAGCTGTACCTTTTTTCTGTGACACCATTCGGATTCATGCTGTACTAGCCCTTCGCGGCTTTGCAAAGCAACGCATCATAAAAGCCTAACTAGAATTTGAGGGATCGTGTGACACATTATCAGAGAGAGTCACAACAAATGAGCCCTGTATGCGGTACAAGGCTTATAGGGGCTAGACAGCAGAGAGGGACTGTGGGAAACGCTGTCACACTGACAACACTGACTAATAACATTCTATCTAAAAATGGCAGCGGACAATTGGGTTGAGAAATGGCTTTAATAGGGTTATAAGAGCTCCGACTCAGAAAAAGCAGCACACTTACACAAGAGTATTTAGACCTTGTAGTCAAAAACGGAGCAAAAAAATATCTGAATGCCCACAAAAGACAACCATCTAAAAGAAATAAATGTCCATCAGTGTCAGAAAAACACTGAAAAATTAAGATGAAAGCGCCTGCTGCTACTTTTCTGTGACATATCGGAAGGAAAAACCCTGTAGGACATGGGAGGCCCCTTTCCCCGCTACAGAGAGAAAAAAGAAACAATCACCTTTCCAAACATTCTTAATGTCAAGTGTGCTGCGTTCTGGATAGTGACCTGTTTACAAAGTTGAGGAGTCTCCAATTGAGAATAGAAACCGTGGGGGGAGCAACCCCCCCAACAAAATCTTCTGGACGCAAACAGAAACGTTAACTCTTGTCTTGAGGAGTAAAGCGGTTGTAGTCGGAGGCGACGATGCGTGAGAAAAAAGACTGGCCGAGACCTGGCTCGCTTGCAAACAAGTGTCTTTAAAAGAGCGTCTCTCCAGGCTATCAGGACACACTGAATCGCTTCTGCACACATAAAAACGGCCCCGAAGAAGAGTCGGAGGCACTAAGAGCATTCGAGTGCATTTAGGGAGGCCTGGGGGAAGAACGGTTTCCCCTACTTCCTTCATTATCCTACATCAGGGAGGGCCTCTCACTCTGCTACACACAAAGTTGCTCTATTCTTCCACACACCCTTAGCGCCGCACACATTCCCTGCCCCTGTCTCTACCACTTCACTTAATATGTGATATTATTATGGGTATATAGAGTGCTGCGCTTAATGGGACCAACAGAAGGAGACGGCTGGGGCTAAGAGAAGAGATTACCAAGTGCACTGCTCCGAATCTGTATTGGGTGTGATGGATGGAGCAGTGGATGGATTACGAGATGTAAAGGGGAAGATATCATGGAGTAAAGCAAAGAGGAAAGAACGGAAGGGGCTGAATAGTTGCTTTTGGGGGGGGAATAAGGGGGGGAGAGGGGCCTCACCAAGTGACTGGACATGCCGGCAGGGGTGACTGAAAACTTGGATTATTTTTTCATTTTATAATATTCCCATTTGTTATTTATCGACAACATTTAAAGACAAGTAGTTAAATTTGATGTGTGGAGGTGCGGCAGCAGATTTCTTCACGTTTCTTTGTTTACATGCCCCTCTCAGCTCTCAGTGTGGACGTTAACAGTAGCATGGGATAAGAGAAAGAAAAAAGAAAAAAAAGACAGCTAAGAGATACAAATCTCTGCTTTTTATCATCTGGTGCACCAGCTGGATGTAAACTCCAAGCTGGATACGCTTCTTTTTTTTTTTTTTAAACAAAAAGTGAACAGGAACACTTCTGATTAAAGGAGTGTTTCTCACTGGGCTCGATGTGATCGGATGAGTCGGATAAGGTGGAGGATCATGAATAAACCCGTAGCAGCTACGTGACGAGCTTTTACCCGGCCAACATCACACTGAGCAATGAGCTTGTTTGAGCATCCGTCCTCAGAGCTGGGTGTGATCGCTGATCACCCGATTTCGTTCCGTCTGGAATCCATTTCATTAATTCTTGATGAGTTTTTCAAATTAGATGAACGCAGATACACAAAGCGCTTCTCAGAATTTTGGCTCTTGACGGGAAACAGACTGTACAAAAAAATCCACACATTTTTTATTCATGTGCATAATCTCAGTTTGTCTGTGTGAAATCATTTCGACTGAAAATTCATACCTCAATTCACCCCAATTTTGCCATGTTAGCTCCTATCTTTAATAAACCTATTGCTCTCAGGAAAACCCTCCAAAAATGTCACAAGTTTCCAGCCTGGTCCAGTCAGTTTATTAGTTAATAAAACATTAACTATTTCCTAATGACTAAGACACATTGAATCTTACTCTTTAAATTACTCTTTGAATCCTTAATAGCTGTAGACGAATGACTCATTGGAAACCCCCTCTTACAAAATAGTAAGAGCTATACACATACATATATGTATGTGTACATATATGCATTTCACACTTGATGTTTGATACATAAATGACTAGATTGTGATTGTTGTTTCTTCTTTCAAATGCAAAAGTAGAAATTTATATGGAAGGCAAATCTGCCAATAGATTCATAGTGCTTGGGGGGGTCAGTCGCACTGCAATCACAAAGATTCACACGATCACAAAACCCAGGTAGTCACAAAATCCCATACTGAATATTTATGTCATTGTATTCCTTCCTTTGGGAGCATATCTTTGCCAAGCAGACGTTTGGCAGAATTGGTCACGGTAAAATACCAATACGGCCTCCTCTTAAGGGTATGCTTCACTGACCCTTCTGTGACCCCGGCCATTATCAAGCTTAAAGTACTAGAGGCTTATGTACCACAGGCTACTTAAACGTGCAAAGCACGTTAAACTGACTGACCCACAGAGAATGCCAACTTGGTGCATCTTAACCAAGCTTCCTAAACAAAATGTTAGAACATAAGAGGGTCGTAAATACAGATGTTCTATTCAAATGACGTTGTGATCTTTGCATGCATGTTCACTACCCAATAACAAAAGCAAATGTGTCTGTATTTCTTGACTTCACATTAACGCTTACAATAGGAGATATTGGTTGAGATAATAATGAGACCTGCTTAAAATGTGCACCTTACCGGCATTTTCAGAGAGGGAGGAGAAGTCCTCTCGGGGGTAGGAGGCAGACGGCTGAATAAACATCCCCTCGTCGAATCCCTCCTCTGGCTCGGGCGGAAAGTTGTAGACGAAACGGCGAGTGGTGGATGTTTTTTTCCTGCGCCCGCTTCCGGCCGCGGCGTCGGGCGCTTCCCGCTTTATGGCTGCGGCGGTGCCGCCCGTGAGCGGCTCGTTCCAGACGAAGACCTGCGTCTGGGCGCCGGCCGCCCGGTTGTCGGCGGCCTCGGCCGAGTCGGACGAGTTGTCGTTGTGGTGCGACCAACTCCCAGAGGCTCCGGGGGTCACCAGGGCACAGCCCTCGCCACCCGCCATCGTCACCTCCACGTCGCTGTTCTCTTCCTTCACCCTCCCGTTCTCGTCGTCTTCCTCCATCCCATCCTTTCCTTGGTTGTTGCTGGCCTTGATGGATAGTTTGGACAGGATGCTCGTGGCCCAGAAGTTGCTCGGCTTCCGGTCCAGGCCTCTCTGTCCCTCTTTGGTCACCATTTGCCTCTTGTTGTAGTCTACCACCACTGAATCGGGAGCCTCCTGCTTTATGCTAATGTTGAGGGCGTCCTTTATAAAAGCCCTGCACGACTGTACAACTTCTGTCATTTGGAGGTAACTAGCGACGGACATAACCTCAATGGCATTTTGGCTTGTGAGCAGCAGATTCCCGGAGTAGAGAAAGTCGAGGATAACCGAGAAGCCCTGCACAGCAGCGACATCCAGGTGTGTGACAGTGGCTTGGTCCTGGGCTTCGCTCTTGGTCAGACAGTAAAGGGTTTTGAAGTAGCGGCTGCCGGCTACCAGGATGTTCTTGTGTGCGCGGAACACCTGGCCGCAGACGACGATGTTCACGTCACAGAGGATGCCGCTCTTGCGTTGTTTGTCCAACTCCTGCAGGAGTTGGTAACAGTAGGAGTTTTCGTTGGGTTTGTTGCGGTAGTCTTCCTCTGAGCAGTTAGTGGAGGGGCTGGTGTTGTCCGAGGGCCTCGCGGTTTCCTTGTTGAAGAAAGGAAGACAAAGGAAACGAAAAAAAATTAGAGAAAACGTGCAAATATATCCAGACACCTGAAGCTTTTCCTGTTATGCCAGTCTGCCGAGAAAAAACAAACAAACCCATCGACTCCATGCGAGGCACCTTTACACCTGCTGAACAGGTTTGATGGGCTTCTGCTAACAAGGAAGAGGGAATGAGGCAATGAACGATACGAATGCTTTAAGGCTGGGCACAAATGATTATAGTTTCAATTAACCAACTTTGACCTAAAAACTCCTGGAAAATTTATTTGGAAGATGTTTTGATAATGAACAGTGACATTCCCTATGAACATGTCGTCTTATCTTACAATCTAATAGAGACTTTATCACTTGGTTTCAGGCTTTTTATATAAAAGATTTTACACAATTATTTTTTTTAATTAATTTTTGCAACACTATGGAGCGTGTCTAAACTTGTTGCATTCAGATTGTTTAATTGGGAGAATAGAGTAAAATATGATGGGATGTCACACCTCCTGACTAAGAAATAAGCACGACAGTTGGTCATGCCTCTGAGTAACAAACGCTGGGCTTTGTGTACCCAGATCTACCAAAACTTTCACAATCATACTTCTCTTTTTTTTAGATGTCTGATGCTACACACAAAAAAAGTTTAATCATCAGGATGCCACTCAACGTTGCTTTTGATTGGTTCAACTTGTTTCAAGGAAACATTCAAGACTAATCTCTGTACAAGACCAGTCAAAAACGTATTTTAAAAAGAAATCTCATCCAAAACAGTCTATGCATCGAGCCACAATTTAAGCACATTTTACTTTTAGAGAGTTAACTCTCTGGAGAGGCAGCAGGAGAGCTGACAAGTTTTCAAACAAAGACGCAACCTGGCTGTCACATTGAAAAGGAACTGGCAAAAGTCCAGAACTACACTGTAACACATCCCACTCACCAGGGTTTTCACACAGCAGGGGAGGGGGAGTGAGAAGGATGATATGGAGCAGAACAGGGGGGGGGAGTATACATGTTTGCATATGCTTACTAAAAACACAGGGCCAGTATAACCCGCATAGATCGGGGTGAAGGAAATGCATAGCTGCTCGCTGGGAATGTAACTTAAAAAAAAAAACAGATAGAAGTAAAAGCAGTGAAAGTCCAGAACGTGTATAATAAAATCTTATCGGTTTGCCACATAATACACACAGGCAGGGCATACATTTCTGGCTCGTTTCTGAACAGCACAGCAGATGTCCTAATCCAGAATAATTCACGTTGCCCGAGTCCTGCATGTTTGACCCCAGCTACCACCATCTATTCCACGCACACATGTGTGTATACACACAAACAGGCCAAGCTGCCTACACATGCACGCAGCTGGGGTTTCAGTTTGAGTAATTCAGATTAAATCCATTTCTCTGAGGTCCCCACCCAACCCCCACTGACTACTCCCTCCACACAGCAGCTCTTGTCCAAGCCAGCCTGGGCAGAGAGGACACTATAGGGGGGCTTATCATCCTCTGCCACAGCTGGAGGGGGAGAGATGGAGAGAGATGGGATGAAATCAAAATAAGAGGCAGGACGAGGGAGTGATGGGGTGGGCGAGTGGATATGGCTTTGCAGATAACAAAATAATAGTGGAGGCAAAGACAGAAAATACTAATAGATACAAGAGCTGTGTTCTATATATCTGATGAAGAAAAACAAAAAAAAAAAAAAAATTGGTATGAGAAAGGTTTGGTGCACAGCCTGCTAATAAACACTGAAAAGAAAATACGGCACAAGGCAAAGATTGAGGGAGTGTAACCTTGAGCATTGCAAAAAAGGGAGGAGGAGAAATCTGGAATGGAGCGGGGGGGACAGTAAGTGAGCTTGATTGCGAAGGAGTTGTTGGGTCACCCCATTTTAGTCTCCACAATGGCCCATGTTCTCCCCGAGGCTTATTGTCCACTCTCTGTGGGCCTTTGTGAAAAGGCTCGGCACTCACTCTCTTGTTACGCAGCGGCTCCCACTTGCATAAAAAAAAAAGCCGTGGTGCATGTTGATGAAGCTAAAAGGTTGAGGAGAGGGGAAGGAAAATTATTCCATGATATACACATCAAAGCCTCTGAAGAGGCTTATGGATATGGTCATCATGTGGACCGTATTGTGAAATATATTTGTTTAGAAAAGGAGAGCGAGGGGCTCCAGAAATGCCCGCCAGTCAGGTTGTCAATACAGTTGATGCTTATTTTTCAGACCAATGATCTGCACATATATCACTGTGGGGGGGGGGGGAACTGGAACAGTCAGCGATAAATTAAAAAAATGGTTGCATAAGGCATTAATCTAATGGTATTTTCAGACTCTAAGAAAATGTAGCCACTGCCCTTCGACTTGCTAAAGCTTTTATCCAGTTTACACCTGGTGTGGCGAGAGTGTGTGCAACTTGTGGTGTCAGGCTCGGCCAGCCTGGTACTGGATGAGTTGTAGGATACTGGCCTCATCATCAGCATCATCATCCCTCCACCAGATGTGCCACGTATGAGTTAAAAGCTTAGAGAACCAGCAGAGCAATCCTGCACAGCAGATGCTGGAGGCAAAACCCACTTGAGCCAAGAGAGAATGTGGGGACAATATCATCCTCCCCCAATACTGACGTGGTTAAGTCCTTATTTGAAGCAGAAACTCTATGAGTGGAGGACTGAAAATTCCAAAAAGAGTGCAGAATCCAATAGGAATTCTTTGATCTAGGTCAAACATGAAAGACTCAAAATCAAAAGTGAGCTTCCAATAGCTGGTGATTTACAGGTGGATTAAACAAATCAAGATGGCCAGAAAAGTCAGGCTTCAGAGTGGAGCCGGCTACATAATGAAGATGCACACCAGCTGGAAGAAAAGAATACAGCCACAAAATCAACCACAAACCCAAACAAAGCCCCAAGGCCGGTAGCCGAATGACAAATACTGAGACACACCTCGAAAAGACCACGTGATACGACCTCCGTCTCCATGCTACCAAATGATCCACTGGAGCCAGCTGCGTTTACCGTAAATGAACATGCATGTTTGGCTACAACCCCTCACATGTGTACCCCCTATCCACAATCAGCTCAGTCCCATGACCAGCCCAGTCCTAAGGCCATCTCCAGCAGCCTTTGCGAGCGTCTGCTGCATCCCTCATTTGGCCCACCCCCTTCCTCACCCAACCCGTCTGTCCCCTGATGCTAGAACAATATCGCAGTGTGCATTTAGCCCAAGGTGTGGGAGGGCTGAACCAAGTGTCTCCCTGCCTTCTAACAATGCCAAAGAGCCGGGTGAGGGTGGTGGGGTGGGGTGGGGGGGGTTGTCACAAGAAGGGTTCTCTGCGAGAGGAATTTTCCCTCTGGCTCCACCCCACCCATTCCCTTGACCTGTGGCCCCCAATAAACATCCCATCTATCTGCCAGGCACCCGGCTGCGGCGTGTGCGTCCCCTTCCCCGTTTTTGGGGAGACTCAACAATGATAAGCGAGTGTCTTAATTAAATCTAAGTGGTGAGAATAAGCATGGAAGCCAATGATTGTATGTGAATATCCTGTCCAAGAAACAGGTGTGTTAATCTTATCTGACATGCCATAAGACAGACACAGGAAGATATTTTTCATTGTCCAACAAATCAGATCTGCCGGCACAAATGAACCAACCTCGCTACGTGATCGTGACGTCATCCCAAGGTTTGGGTGAACATTTTGAAATAGATGGGCGTAAGTGTGTCACGTTCAATAATACCAAGTGACAAAAACAGAAAGCACAACAAGGGGTAAAACAGAAAAAGAGGGAGTATGCTCAGCAGCTAATTGTGGAGAATTGAAACCAGTCTCATGTGACGGTTCAGTGCGTCTCTCTGTGGTATGGTGTAAATGGAAATACAGATATAGAACCCAGTTTCTGTGGGTGGCCATGACAAGGGGCTACTCTGTGCCCATAAATGTGGGTTTAAGACATGCTCGATTAGCATACATTATACGCACATAATAGCATAATGAAGAGAGAAGAAGCTGTTTGAGTAATCCCTTTTAACCGAAGAAAATAAGAACAAACATTTCCGCGAGAGAGAATAATTACATTGATCTTACATGACTAATGTTAGATCCGATGTCAGAAAACTAAATTGGCCAGTTTTGCCTCGTCATAAACGTTTACCAATGAACAGCATAAGGAGCAATCCGAGCACAAGACAGCATCTAGAAAATTAAGGACAACGGCCCCCTTCTCCAAGGATACCCACATTTACAACAGCTGCCCTAGTGTACTAAGGCTAATTGAGTTAGCTTTAACAAATGCAGCAGAGGCCTGAGCAACATCAGGAATGGGTGACCAGAACAAGACGTTGCCTCACAACACCATAATTCCCCTTTAATGTGCTGCTTTACAATGCAGCAATGCTTGCAGTGCAGAGTGCAGCCCATTATTATTATTCTAACCATATGGTATATCACGTGTAGAATATACATTCGTCCAAAAGGTTAAGAATTACTTAAACTGCAGAGTGCAAACACTAGAAAACAGCTAAACTGATTGTGGAAAAGTCAGAAGTAAATCATTTCTAAAAAAAACAAAAAAAAAACAGATTTGACTCTTTCTTTTCCTAGATTGTAAATGAGGAAATGGGTCGGACAACCTTTTAACCCGATGTATGGGGTCCTTGTTGCTAGGGAAAAGCCACACCAAGCCCCTAATCCAGTCTTGCTCTCCTTACCAATTAGACATGTGTACAAGTTAGTGGATGACTTTAAGTAATTCTGATTAGTGACTGCGTGTTCGGAAGAAGGAACTAAATGTGGTCGGGAAATCCGCTTCGCTCACAAATTAGAGTCAAATAGTACCCGCTCTTAATTCTTCTGACAGCTCAGACTATTGTCAGGATATAAGGAAAGATAGAGTAATGTGTGAAGTGTGTAGAGCTGATGTGTGGAACACTCACTGGCAACAGCCTATACAGGTAAGTCTGCCCTCTCCCTTTTTATGAGGGCTGGAAATGCAGTGTCTAAAATTAATGAACCCATAAAAAGATGGCACACAAGTTCAGTGAAGATATTGTGCAATTATAAATCTGGTTCATGTGTTTTTAATTAAAGGCACTCGGCATGCTGTTAGCGAGTAACCGCATAACCGTCGCATGTCAACCAAACAGAGAAAGGTCATTTCAAATTGGCTGGACAAGCTGATGCTTGAGCAAATAAGATCAGCTCCCATTCTTATAATATATGGCCAAAAATGATCACATCGGAGCCCGTGGACTCAGGAACGCAGACGCCAGAGCTCAGGTGATGCTGCGTCCTTATCGTTTCCGACACACTTTTCGCTCATTCGTACCCACTGAGAGGTCACCTCCTGGCGAGAGATTTACTCTCCTCCTCTTGTCCAACCTTTGCAAGTGACACCATCTATGGATTTTGGGGGGTCATTCTAGCACAATGCCTCTAATTTAGCTCCCTAAAGGGAGGAGGAGCTGGAAGGAGGAAGAAATGCGCCAGAGGTCACCCGTGACTGCAAGCGAAAAGGAGCAGCATGAAAGGCGGGGGGTTGGGAAGGGGTGCGGCTCCCCAAAGGCTGCCTAGGTCGAGCCCTTGCCATTGTCTGACCTCTGTAGCCAGCAAGCCATCTAGACAGCTACGTACAGACATGGACATTATTATACATCACAAGTATAGCCAAAACACTGGTACATGATCAGTTAACGTGTAAACGCAAGATAGTATCTGCCTTCAGGTTAGCTGGCAGGTGCCTGACAGGACCAACTTCAGTGATGAGTGGACAGCACCAATTTTAGACAGGAAGATGTGCGTGACACACTCCTAATAACTGCAACATTTTTTTATCATTCTGTAAATCCTTGGGCTCCGTGAAGGAGGAGGAGGGGGGGCTTTCCATCGCATTGAAAGACCATCTACTTCTGGCTATACAGTAAAGCTGCTAGTTAGCTAAGCTAGGTGTTAGCTCAGGTTAGCAGGCTGATGCTAACTAATTAGCAAGAGGAAGGGATTGTGAAGCTTAGGTAAAAGCCTATTTTCGCCTTAGTTGCATTAGAAAATAAGTTGAAGAAAACGTTTGACGAGACAATAAACACAAAAAAGGAACAGGTGAACGGTGTCGGTGGTTTGACAGGCATTTCTCGCTACGCGGATAAGCTAAACGAAAGCGAACGTTACCTGTTTGGTGGGGTCGTTTCTCCCGTGCTCCGAAGACAGGTGATGTCTCAGCAGCAAGGCCCGTTTGTAGTTGCGACTGCCTTTAACAAGCTCGTCGCTGTTTTTAGTGGCAATGTTATGACACCAGGAACAAGACATGAGTCCCGTCTCCTGGCAAAATTTGAGCCATGGGAATTCTTGCAACCACGAAGCGTGAAATAGTGAGCGTTTCTGAAGCAGCTTCTGCGGTCTCATCTCTACCCCAGATTTCCTGGAACCCGTCTCGACAGCTTTCGCGACGCTCCCGGGCTCCTGGCCGTCGGTGCTTTCGTCGGGACCGTTCCCCGACGTCCAGCAACTCCCCTCCCTGGACCCGTCTTCCCCTTCCACCGAGTCGACACGGTAGTCGCCGTCCGCGGCCGGCCAGCTCCCCCCTTCCGGGTCCTCTTCTTCCTCCGCCTCCGGTTCCCCGCTATCGCTGACAGACCCAGCGCCCTCCACTCTCCGCTGCGACGGTCCCTTCGCTCCCAGATCCCGGTCCTCCTCTTGATCCGGCCTATTCCCGTTAAAATGTCGGTCTTGACAGGCCGGGGCCTCCCAGCTGTTACAGTTCCCCCCACCGATGCCGCTGGAACCCGTTAACCCAGCTAATCCACCTCCTCGGAACGCCAACGACCTGCGATTTCTCTCACCGGACATTTTTTTTCTTAATATATATTTACAACCTTCACTTTTCAAACTCCCGACAAAAAAAATATTGTAAATGTAAACGATGGGGTTTTTTTTTTTTTTCCGAAAGAGATGGACCGTCGTCGTTTCCTTCCCCCGCTCTGCCCTCCCGGTGAGAGTATGTAGGTTATGCGGAAATAAATAAAGCTTTTAAACGCATAATGAATTTCAGGGTTCTCGCTGCGTCCGCGCAGGCCCCGCAGAGGTCGAATGGCAACGACTTTCCTCCCCACAATGCACCTCGATCGGCGAAAGGGGGGGCCGGAGTGGGAGGGGGGACGGCGGGAGGAGGAGGGGGGTTGGGGGGTAGGCTTTTAAAGGAAGATGGGGGTGCTGTGGATCACCAAGGGGTCTTTTGTGTTGGAGGGGCTGCACCCTTTTTCCGCACGCTTTTCATCTCTTGACTCGGCTTGTTTTCCCGGTTCCTAAATACCAGACTTGCGGGCCCCACTTTAGCTCTCATGCTAAGCGCCGTGGACGTTAAAGTCATATGATATTTCAGCAGGAATGCAGTGGTGTTGTGAGTGTGTCAGTCATTTTTGTGTTGAATTTCCCATTTTGTCACGCACCCCACGTATACGACATATACTAGATAATACAATACTTTAATAAACTGTTTTTTTAAAGCGAAAGCCAAGACACAACACACTCATGTTCATTTAAACAATTAGACAAATCAGGGTGAAAACATACATAAATTCATGAACACTATAATAAACCGAGGTCATTTTTATATAAAAGAAGACAAAATAAGAAAACGGAGCTTCTCATTTAAAAAAAAAAAAACTACACTTGTTATGTGGGAAATGTATCTTCAATGAAAAAAAACTTCACTTTTAATGTAAGAAACAAACGCATATCCTTCAACAAAATAATATAATAAGTTTAGTCTCAAACAGTTTTAATAATCTATCAATATATTATAATCCTTAACTAGCGAATTATAATATATCAACGTTTCCTGACAGTTCTCGTTGTTGTGCTAAATTCCAGCAGGTGGCACTCTTTCATCTGAGCCTATCTGGCTATTTGCTTACTTGTGTCTGCTTGTCTTTTTCATATGAGACGCTGGACATCGCTGGGTGTAAAGTTTCAGGGCTGTCCAATTAAGAGCTTTACACATAGTGTGTGAACAAGAGCAGGATTTAACCATGGTTCTGATTACAATAAGGTGCAGGATCGTAAGAAGGTAATACACCCCACTTCAAGGGGGGATTCATTCCCAAAGGGGTGATAAGGGCTATATACACAATTACAGTGTCTATTTATTTCACCAGCTTACGAATAAAGCTGGAGAGTGTCATGCAAGAAAAGTACAGTGTTTGCCTCATATTCTTCACAGATATGTACAAAAGGAAGTGAATTAAATCTCACGATTATTTCTGACTGACATGGATATTTGTATCTCTACTTGTATTTCTTGATATCAAATTCAGGAGGAATTCTGTTATCTATTGCACTCCCAGTTCCCCCAAGTTTCAGAGTTAATACATACTGTTCTTACATCCAATCAATTTTGGCAAGCCAGCTCTACTTCAGAAAATGGTTAGATTGTTAGATTTTTTATGTGTGGGATTGGAATAGTTTTTGTGTGGTTTTCCACATTTGGACCAACATCATATTTTCTCTGCCAACATGAGATGAAGGTAATTATATCAGACAACTGGAGTGAATTGATTAAAAGGTTATTAGGAACATTCTTGACAGCTTTAGTGACACTAAGGCCAACACCAGACTGTCAGCACTTGGAATTGGACCAATGTACTGGAGCTGGTTCTGGGGCATTATATGTTACATTTACTGCCCCAAAATATTCAATTACTGGCTTTATTTAGACAATGTTGAATAGGTATGCTTTCCATCAAGACCCACACTCTTTAAAACACATCCATCTTTATACATAGCCATGAGTTGGACCTCAAGAACTACAAAAAAACTTCTCTATCTACAGAGGTAGATAGAGATGGCATATGCTGTCAATCATTTCAAATTGTTTAAACAAAATATTTATCTATGTTGGTATTACAAAACTGTGTTTACAATTTCATGAGTATTTTCATATGGAAAATATCTATGTTTTGTCTTGTTTCAGATGTTCCCTCATTTTCTGTGAGTAGGATTTCCTTTTTTGTTTTTAATTTCAAAGGCAGTCTTTATCACAGATGTGTCGCATTTCTGGATATTAATGTGTATAAGATACATCTAATTATATCAGGAGGTAAAATTAAGATATATAAAGATACCTATGTAATGACATGTCGTCAGCATTGGGCCTTTCATTGTTGACTGTCTAAAACTTGATCCACGTGTTCGCCTGTGTTTACACTAATACGCGTTGACGTCAGAGAGAGCCACGCCCCGGACGTCGAGCTGCCTGGCAACATGAGGGAGAGAACAGGAAGATCCGCCGCAACCAAGTCAGCAAGTTGCACACTGAGCTCTAAACAGCCCGAAACATCTGTCAGTCTTTACGATGGAGGATACAGAAAAAGGTAAATAATTTACTCACATTTATTGGCGTGGCACTGTTGTAACTAACATTATGGAACAACTTTATTTCACGTGAAACCTAGCAAACCAGCTAACTTTGTCCTGCGTTTTGTGTCTGACCCTGAGACCATATGCTACTTTTTGTCTGAACTTTTTCGAGAAAATAAATGTCATTAATGTGTTTCCGAAATAAATTGTAAGCGATTTAAAGGACTGTCACGGAAGTAGAAATATTTCAAAGCATATGTTCCGGCGAATTTTAGCAAGAAGATAAACGAGGAAGTTTATTTCAATTTAAGTTAAAACGCCAAGGAAGAAATTTTTTTATAAAAAGACATTTTTAGGTGGTGAAACGTTGTTTAAAAGATATTTTTTCTGTATTTAATATACAATTACAACTGCTTGCCGACGTTTGCTTCAGTCACACACTGTTACTGGTGGCATGCGATCAATGCGTCCTTCTCGCCATTCCTGCTTCGTTTTATACTCCTCCATAAGCTTTATTCCGCCCTCATACCTATTTGAACACTAGACTTGGCTCCTGGGAAAGTAATTTCACGCCTTTGGGCTGCATTCTTAAAGAAAGTGGAAGCATTTTACGAATAAAGCTTGTTGTAATCAAAGCTCTGATTGATTTGCATGTGGTGCACGCGGAAGCAAATGACAGGTTTACACTACAAGGTGAGGTTAGCTAAAGGACATCTGACCCAAATTTTCCCGGGCGGAAATGGTTTTCACCACCTCGGTGAAACATTTTATAGGCCTATTTTTCTTTTCTTATTTTCATTTAATTTTTGTTTGATTTACTATGAAGAAAAACTAACTCTACTGTGACACCTGGGTCAGTTTTTAAGTAGCTCTCTGGCTATTCCCACATCAGCTAGTGTTTGATTTGGCTTTACTTGATTAGAGAAGAAGGTTATTTTCTTTTTGTCTTCTTGTTGGCTTATAAAGTTTACTATGTTTCATATTAACTCACGGACATGCATTGGATGTTTTCTCCACCATGTGTGCGATGTAGCAGCTCAGACAGCAAATGTCTTTTCTTCTTTCTCCTTCTTCTGTTACATAATGTTCTTGTCTGTTGAACGTGAGGGAATGGAGTACCTACCAAGGCCATGCATTTACCTGACTGATCACAGGTATTCATCAGGTTCAGACGATTGCAGAAGTTGGTGAAACAGTGAAGTCGCACCATAATAGCTGTTCCCAAAAAACAAACAAACAAAATCGGCATTGAGATGCTTTTCTGGTTCTGCAGCCAGCAGAAGTAAAAGGTTCATACTTCCGATCTGCTTTGGACAAAATTACAATTCTCATTGTGGTGTCTGTCTTTATGGTCACGCTGTCGTGGCAACAGACAGTCGGGTTTAGCACACTATCAAACTTTCATATCTATTCCCTTTCACGCACTTTTTTTTTTTTTACCTAAAAAGGATCATTTTTATCGTTCTTAAAAAGATCTCCACTTTTTAGAAAAGAACAAACAATTTTTCTAATCATTTTGGCATTTCAAACTGATTTTTGCACATTTGAAAATAAGGAGAGGGCAGGAAAACGGTTTACAGCAGGAGGTTCAGTGCATAACTGAAGGAGTCTGCTCTCCTTAGATTATGCTTTGCATCACATGACCTGTAAGATAACAAGTGTCTCTGTTGTACATTTTCCATAGATCCCATTTACTGTACAGAAGTTTTGCTCCTGTGATTTACATACTGTAAAAAAGAAGAGATGGATGGTTCTTCTCTCTGCTATGTTCTGTTTCAGGGATGGATGTTAGAGGTTTGGGCTCAAAGAAGAAGTTCAGAAATAACAGTCTGGTTTACCATCTCGGCTTGTTTATTCAAGCCCACTTGTCTAATAAGATTGATCATGGGCAGCGTCCACAAATTTTGCGTAATTCGATTTATGTGCCGCACAACCGGCTGCTTTCAGCTGTCAGAGGAAGTCCCTCACAGACAACATCCCCTCAGCAATGTTCAGCTGATTTGTTTGAGCAAGAAATTCATTTAGCAGGACAGAATCATGCTGGGAATTTTTTCATACAGTTTCACGTATCAGTGATTTCTTGCTGGATTCTGACTATAAATCTTGTGTATAGTTTAGAGACCACATATTTTGGCATTTCTGTCAAGTTCAGAGATAATGAGTGTGTGGAGGGTGGGCCTATTCTCTGCATAGTTTACCTGTAATGGCTAACATCGTCTAATAACGATACATATTTAAAAGTTTCAGGATTTTCACCAGATGACCTCCCCAAAAATATGACCGATCGTTTATTCCACTGAAAAAACACGGGATGTAGCTTTAAGAGAAACCAAAGCATTACAATAGTGGTCTCAAAAGATTTGCATTCACCTTCTTGACAGAGTCAGATTTCAACAACTCTATTATTCTTTGTTTGAAACTATGCACCAAAAAAAAAAGAAAGAGGCCATGTTTCAGGCTTCCAGTACAGCTTTCTGGAGAATTTTTCATCGACCTGTGAGTTTTGGCAGAGCAGCGTTCTCACCTGGCTG